TTTGCATATACAATCTCATTTATTACCATATTCTATTCATTTGACCGAATAAACATAACCTACAAAAAGATTTCGGCGCAAATTTAAAAACTTTTAAATTCGAGCTGAAATCTTTTCGTAGGTTATGTTTGTTCGGTCAGTTTAAATTTCGGTCAAATTGAATATTACTATTTGATTTAGTAATGTTTTTTTTTATTAAAATATTAGTGAAAAATTATTACAAATTAGTAGAAATTTCTCACTAATTTAAATTAGTGAACAAATTTCTCACTAGTTGAAATTTAGAGAGTAAAACCTCGAGAATTTGTGGGCACCAAAAACTTATTATTTGACTCTTGGTCATCAATAGAGTTATATTACTATATTTTATGGTGTGAACATATATATCCAGAATAATAGTATATGCGAATCATTGCCGAAATTTTCAACAGGTCGTCAATTTTCCATGAACATTAAATTTAACTAAATGAAAATGATACTCTCTCTCTCTCTCTCTCTCTTGAATTACAATCGAGGAAATTAATTGTCCTGTCATCGCTAAAAAAGGAATATGGTAATAAAAAAGTCCACATTTATTTTTTCGTCTTTTTCCCACAAATTCTCTGCGATTTCTTTACTAGATTTATAAAAAATTATTTCTTGTGTCTAATAATTTTTTCATAGTGAAAAATTATTATTTTTTATTTCACAGATATATTACAATACTGTCTTAGTAGCATTGAGGTTTTGAGATAAAAAATGTTTGTAATTGAGCGGTGTAAAAACAAAATTTGCTCTAAAAGGCTTAGGAGTTATGTATAACATTCAGTCATTTTGTCACTAAATGTCACAGGTGGAGTGCATCGATTGCTCGCTCTCCCATGAAGCTTCCTGTCTATGACACTAGGTATTATATACGCTTTCAAATAGCAAAACACAAAACCCGAGAGTACAAATAAAATGGGAATGAGAGTAGTGTAGAGTATAGAGAGAACGAATGAGCGACACGCCTGCGATCCATTGTTCGACCCAATTCCTGGTAGGAGAATATATATATACATATATACATCTGTGTAACCCTATTACGTTACAAGATACGTGTATCACACCAATACACATCTTCAATGTATGTAATACGATACGTCCAATCGATGCTCAGGTAATTTCGAATCAACTCTGGATTCCGTAATTTCCATAATTAATCCACATCTCCTGGGGAATTTGTGATTTCACCATCTGCTACTCGAGGAATTAGGGATGAATTAACAGTCAAATTAGTCAGAAAGTCAAATTCTCATCAACTTGATATAGAGCGTTTAATAATTTATAATATTTCATTAAATCAATCTCCGTTAATGTGGGTAGAAGACATTTTTTAGAACTTTCTTTGAAGTGAAAAAAGATTTTGGGTTAATTTTTTTTAGGAATAATAAAGAAGGGTACAAGGAACAATGTTCTTCTATTAATTTTCTATAATTTAATGCAAAAATTATCAATATAGTAAACTAAGGTTTTTTCTAGTTCATTCATCGGCCACTAGCCAGCATTGGCGCTAGCTCCTGGAGCACAGACACACTCACGCGACGTCTGTGTATGCGCCGCCATGTTTCTTGTCATAAAAGATGAAGGCCCTAACATAACCTGAAAACTGAAAAATAGTTTTTAACGAAAATAAAAATTTAATAAAAATTAATTTTAAACAATTTTAGAAAATTTAATTATACACTTTTCGGAAAAAATTATATTAAGTTAATATATTTCGTTAGATAATTTTTTTCTTTAAATTTTTTCCGAAAAGTGTATAACTAAATCTTCTAAAACTGTTTAAAATGAATTTTTATTAATTTTTTTTTGGCATTAAATAACATATTTCAGTTTTGAGGTTATGTTAGGGATCTCCATTTTCCTTCAAAAAAGTATTGGCTTTTAAAATAATTGAACGCAAAATTATTTTCATTTCAGGAGAACAAGAATTTTAGCAAAAACTCTTTTTTAAATTTAGAGAAATTTTGGTTTTTGCAAAACACATTTTCCATTTTTCCACACACAAAAAAATGCCAGTGTAATTTTTTCTACATCGTCCGTTGGAAAAAAAAGTGATCACGCATCGAACGCAGTAAAAAATACTGTTGTAAATTTACAAGCCGTAAAATTAGAAGGCTACATAACGTTAAAGTTGTTTTTTATTTTATAAATTAATTTATAATTTTTTTTATATATTATAATATGCATTTATTTCGAGTTTGCGCACATCAATATTAAAACTATAATAATATACTCTATGTACTATACACTACCTCTGTATCTCTATAGGGCTATAAGCCCGTTGGTTCATTAAATAAATAAATAAATAATAATTAATTTTGATAAAATTGTTGTTCTCCTGAAATAAGATAATTTAAATTTTGCGTTAAATTATTTTTAAAAATATATTTTAAAAGTCAACGTTTTTAAGAAAAGAGGAGATTTTTTTTGCTACTGCGCATGCGTCAATTCTGTACAAGAAACATTTGTAGAAGTTAACAAATTTTATTATTTACATCAAATTATTGATTTGACGTTAAAGAATCATCAGTAAAAATTTTTTTCCGTATATACTTTATAAAATATTCTACTAACTAGAATCTTGATAATTTATAGAATTCGACTCGACAAAAATTCAGTTGCGAGAATGAGAGTATTCATGCATTCATCTTACCATCGATGCATTAAAAATTAATGTAAGAGAAATAATAAAAGTTATATATATGTACGTCAAGTGAGAGTTAGACTATAGAAAAGTGATAGATATATACATAAACTTATAATTTAAAGCGCAATATGAAAATATTTTCATGATTATTTCCCTATTAAAAAGGGATTTCATTTTTATCGTAGATCGTAAACAAACTGTGGCATATATATATGGTTATATTAGTTGATATGCGAATTCTTTTCGCTATATGCACTTATTGTATGTGTATACTGCATCAGTTAAACAATGATGTTGTATATATACCTATATATATATAGTTAGTGCTTCTTTATTCTTCAATGCATGCATAAAACATCAATGGCTAATTACTGAGAGGCATATCGTCACTCATATATTCATATAATTTGCTAATTAATTTGACGCCTTAATACACTTGTGAACTCTTTACACTTATCACAAACTTCATAAAAAGCAAATTGTACGCAGGATATAAACACTGTTGCACTTTTTTAAAAGTGAAATTTAGTTACGTGTATATGCATTATTAATTTTATAATTGATACTTGTGCATTTTGATTTACATGAATGGAATTTGTATAACTCCAAAGAATCACACACATATGGTAATAGAGTCATCCTTATTTTTCTTTTATTTTTTTGGGCGCATGAATATCCAATAAAAAGTACCTATATTATTTAGAATTTTCATTTGGCAAAATTTCTTTTTAGACGAATTTTCATTTTTCGAATCGGCATTTCAGTTACTTTCTTTGTAAACGAAATTTTATTTAACATAATTTTTAGGTATATAATTCTTTTAAATTTAAATAAAAAAAAATTATGTTAAATAAAATTTCGTTTACATAGAAAGTAACTTAAATACTATATAATTCGAAAAATGAAAATTCTATAAAGAAATTCTGTCAAATGAAATTCATACAAATGCTTTGTCGCATTTTCTTATACATTTTTTTCAATTTCAAAAATTAATGAAATTCATTCATCATAAATATAATAAAAAACATTTAACAAGCGTTTTATATTTAAAAAAATGGAATTCTATTCTCTTGAACTTTATCAATATATATATACTTTAACTTCATTTTCATGGTACACTAAAGATTTCTCTTGACTTTTAAATCTTATATACTGATGAAACCTCATAGGATCTTTGCAAGAGATAAACTCACTTAAATATTAAATACTCTCCAGTGAATTAAAACGTTATGAACAAATTTATAAAGTCAAAAATATATATACTTATGCATAGCTTTATAAACAGCGAGGAGGAAAAGTTGAAATACACAGACACTCTATAAACTTTGAATTTAATTCACGTCTCGAGTTTTGCAAATAAGGTAAACTGCGAGAGGCAGCGAGAAGTGCTTTAATCAGGTTGATTAATTAAGTATTCTTTAATTTACTTCGTAAACTGCATCGAACTCTCTTATTCTATTATATGTCTTGAAAAGAAAACGAGAAAAAAAGAAGAATATATATTTTTTCTTAAAGCGACCTTTCAAAAAATATTGATATGAGAATAAATAATTATAAATAATTTAAAAAATAAATAAATAAAAAAATTAATAATTTAATATTTAATTACACAGCCACACATAAAATTAAAAAGTTCTGCTCAAATTTAACCTCATCAGTTCAGGATTCTGCCGTAATCTCAAAAAATCCTAAATTTGATATATGAATCCAAAAAAAAAATGTCTCTGATTTGGGGGACTGACCATGTTTACTATATGTTTTCGGGGTCGCTGAATCCGTATCCGAGGCTCTAGGATTCAGCAATAACATAAAAAAAACACATCAGGCACACATTTTTTTGAGGTTATGACATAATCTTGAAGTGATGGAGTGAAATGTGCCTCGGATACGTATTCAGCGACCCCAAAAACATATAGTAAACATGGTCAGTCCCCCAGATCAGAAAGAAATTTTTTTTGTTGGATTCGTATATCCAATTTAGGGTTTTTTTGAGGTTATGTCAAAATCCTAATCTGGTAGGATTAAACAGGCTTTAGATTTGGATTCAGCGACCCCAAAAATATATAGTAAACATTGCGCAATAAATAAATATTTTTCATGTATTGTCAATATTAATGCAATTCATAATTTTCTGTCACACAATTTCTCAATTGTCAGATAGTTGGTTTCGATTGCCCCCACTTGTTATTTGTCATAATTCTCTTCAACTACCGCACCCTGCTTTATAGTGAAAATTTAGTAACTTTATAGTAACTTTTAATTTTAACAATAATGTCACTAAATTTTCACTAGAGCAGAGTGCGGTAGTTGACGAGAATTAATTCAGGGATGGGTAAATGTCGCAAACTCAAGGTTTGCTACGTATGATACCTAAAATGTGTAGTATACGTAACAAATTGTCGCAAACGTCGCAAACCATATTATAAATATAACCTCACTTTTCGGATGTCAACTCGGACTCGCCTCATCATCATAACAGATAAATTATAATAATGTCTCAGGCAACTCAGGTAAATAGATCTACTGGTAAATATAAAGAGATGAAATATTCTTTAAATAATAATTTATTGCACTTCAGTTTAATAATTTTTATTAAGTTAATAAGTGTTTTTATATGTCTTTACTCTTTACTTTGAATTTCTATAATCCTACAAAAAAATCTCGTCAATGCTTCTGAAAAATTAAATATAGATCTTTTTGATTTTTAGAAACAGCAGGAAGAAGCGGATGAAATTTCGAAGATATTGAATTTATCAAAAGGAGATCTTCAACTAGGGATGTTCTTTTTTGGATGTAATATTCCATTCGCGGTAGTTGAATCCGATTTTTTAAAAAAGTTTGTCAAAACTTTAAATCCGAATTACTCGCCGCCTACCAGAAAAACTCTTAGTAATTCTATTTAAAAAAAATTTATAATAAAATGTTAACTGATCATTCATCAATACAGACATTAATGTTGAGAGGCCTTCCACCTAGATTCATTTTTAAAAAAAATGTCCACAAAGCAATAATCAAACGAATCAAACAAAAATTCAAAGACTAAACACATAGCGGGAACCAACTAGATTGAGGTTATATTTGCTTCTGACCATTACGAGTGCCTACGTCATGAAATGTAACAAACGTTGTGTAGCAAACTGGACAAGTTGTATACACATGTAACATACGTAGCAAACTTAGGTAACATACATGAAGTATGTTACTTACCCATCTCTGAGAATTATGACAAATGTGCTAGTGGAGACAATGGAAACCAATTAGACGACATTTGTAAACAAACAGAGTTGGGAAGTAAGGGCCCAAAATATTTTCATCCAAAGCAAAGTTGGGTAGGATTGAAATTTTATCCAACTATAATTTTCGGAACGTGTATTTAATTGTTAGGCTGTGTTCACAATACAGTACAATTAAATATGTACACTTTCTGAAAATTATAGTTAAAAAAATTTTAATCCTACCCAACTTTGCTTTTGATGAACGGTTGGTTTCCAATGTCCCCACTCGCCATTTGTCCAAATTCTCTTTAACTACCGCACCCTGCTCTAGTGAAAATTTAGTGACTTTTAATATTCACAATAAAGTTACTAAATTCTCACTAGAGCAGGGTGCGGTAGTTGAAGAGAATTATGACAAATGGCGAATGGGGACAATGGAAACTAACTGAACATATTTTAAGCTTTTGCTTTCCAACCCTGTTTGTTTACAAATGTCATCTGGCATTGCACTTGATAAATATTATTCATGCGTTTGCAATAAATTTCATGTAACTAATAATTTCCTGTTACACAATATCATAATTGCCAGATGATTTTTGTAAACAAACAGGGTTGAGAAGCAAGAGCCCAAAATATTTTCATCCAAAGCAAAGTTGGGTAGGATTGAAATTTTGTCCAACTATAATTTTCGGAACGTGTATTTAATTGTTAGGCTGTGTTCACAATACAATACAGTTAAATATGTACACTTTCCGAAAATTATAGTTAAAAAATTTTAATCCTAACCAACTCTGCTTTTGATGAACTGTTGGTTTCCATTGTCCCCACTCGCCATTTGTCCAAATTCTCTTCAACTACCGTACCCTGTTCTAGTGAAAATTTAGTGTCTTTTAATTTTCACAATAAAGTTACTAAATTTTCAATATTTTTCTACAAAATTACTTGTCATAATGGAGATGATTCTTAATCAGCTCGCCCTTATCTAATTAATCCGACAAATCCGAACAAGATATTTCAAGTTATTTACGAGTAATATCTCGCAAGGGAAAACACTTTTAGGTTAGGGATTTTTCCCGGATGGCCTTAATATGCTTTTAAATATTACACAGGCCTACAAAATTTTCGATTTTGTCACACCCAGAATCCGGACTAGTTATTTTTCATGTAATTTTTCACGCTGAATCCAAAAATGACAGCGAAATTGGTCTATCACGTCAGGATTTTGAGATATTCTAACCTGAAAGCGTGAAAAAGACCGTTTTTGGCAACATTCAACCATCTATAAAATCTTCAAAAAAAATTTTAACTGAGATACAGCCATTTGAGTTTTACGTTACACGACCTAAAAACTTTTTAAAAAAGGAAAAATAAAATTTCAAAGAACTTCAACTAAAACTCGTTACTAGGGGGGTTTTTGGGGTCGCTGATTGCAATTTTAATGTCAGATTTTCGAAATTAAAAATTTCGGATTCAATATGGCGGATATTTTTTTAAATTCAACTGATTCGCTTGAAAATCGCGTAACTTGGGAGTATTTTAGATCTTTGATGACGATTCTGATAGCAGCCGTATTGGATCCGCCATTTTTTCGAAAATCTGGCATCGTTATCGTAATCAGCTACCTCGAAATCCCCCGAGTAACAAGTTTCAATTTAAGTACTTAGTTTTCCTTTTTTTAGGGTTTTCAGGTCGTGTAACGCAAAATTTAAATGGTTGTATCTGAGTGAAAAAAAATCGGATTTGAACGGGCCAAGAAAATTTTAAAAGGCAAATAGTAGTACTTTCTTGAGAAATTTGAACCAACGCTTAAAAAAATTTTTTGGAGATTTTATAGATGATTGAATGTTGCCAAAAACGGCCTTTTTCACGCTTTAGGTTAGAATATCTCGAAATCCGGACGTGATAGAGCAGTTTTGCTGTCATTTTTGGATTCAGCGTGAAAAATTACATGGGAAATGACTATTCCGATGTCTGTGTCTAAAATTTGTAGGTCTGTGTTATTTGTGTAGAATTTTTTCGTGATGTGTAAAGTTTGCCTGGGTGCAACTTACTGTGTAGGATTTTATTTCGTATAGTACTTAATTATGTTGAGTAAAAATTTGTATTTTAATTTTATTTTACCTCATTCTGCTTGTTTAGAATTTATTTTTGTATAGTTGTGAACAATTTTCCAATGTAGAGTTTATTTGTGAATGATTTGTATCGCCACAATTAGAATACTAATAAATTCCATATTTTTACAGAAAAGTGATTAATTTCAATAATTATAATTGGAACAGATTGGTATAAAGTATAATGTTTTGTTTAATTAGAGAAAATTTTTCTTCTTTTGATATACATATATATAAAGAAATTGAATCGAGTAATATGCATTTCTTTTGTACTGCTGGAATGAAATCATGTTTCAGTAGGACGCATCGTGTAATTTACGATACACTTTCCAATCTTTATTGTTTATCTACATTCTTCACTTATATAGTATGCATCTGGGAAATGGAGCATTTCGTTCATATATATATACATTTCTGCATGAGAAAAAAAGTCAAATATAACCCTCAGCAATCGAACTTGTATAGTCTGACAGTGGAGTTGTAATAATATGTTTAAGGCTTTTGGTAATAGAATCGAATTTGTATATATGTATATAAACACAATGTGGAAGTGTTGTGAACATTCGAGATTTCCTTTCTAGATCGTGCGAATCGAAATTCCGTTCCACGTATATTTATATGTCGTCTTTGAATTTCCAATATCGAGTAAAGGTTTTTGCATTATACAAACGTTAATTCATCATCTCCTCAAAATCTAACTGTTACGCTAGATTTCATTTCTCATTAAGTTTAATATATATATGCATATTGAAGGAGAAATTTAATCCCTTATAAACGAAGCGGAGATGAGCCATTCAAAATAATTTTCCAACTTTCATCGCATTTATATTTTAATGAATAATTTTATGAATCCTTATTATCAAATTGCGTGATTGTGGAAAAACGATTTTTTTTTTCTTAAATCGCTACTTATATTTAGAGATTAATATTCTTTTTTAAATCAAGAATTCAGTTATATAATTAAAGGGACACGAATAAGGTGTTAAATTGTAATTTTGATAAAATTTTCATTTGACAAAATTTCATTGCCATAGAATTTATTTGTAGCCGAATTTTTATTTTTTTTTTTTTTACATTTTACAGAATTATTAAAACGCCAAATTTCCATTTGCGGAAATTACAAATGTCTGACAAATATTTTTCACTTTTTAGGTTCTGTTCGACTCTTCATCCTCTTTAAAAGAATTTTTATTTTTCAGAAAAAAATAAAAATTCGAACAAAATTAATTTTAAATCTTATTCATGCCAATTTACATATATGTAAAATAGGATGAAATTTTTCTCAATTGAATGAATTATCAAACAAGAAAATAAAAAAATTTGTTTTATAGAATTTTTTTTTTGTTCCAATTATATCGTTTCTTGGTAATTGAATCTATCTATATATATTATATAGTTGAAACCACTTTCCATTTCCGCTGAGAACCATCGGATCATTGTCAAGGACACTTGAAACAATTCTTTTACGAAGTCGTTGGGTTCTTTGGCAGGACTTGTTCGATCTCATGGCCGCATGACAAAAGGGAATCACTTAAGTAGCGTGCGGTAAATCCACTCAAGATAGGCTTTGTTTAATTTATCCTCATGATATGAGCAATCTCGCTTTCTAGACATTTTGTCTGCGGTGAAAAAAAAAAAAAAAAAAAATTACCCGCGCACAAATCCACTGAGTTCTTTGTTTATAGGCAAACATAAAAAGAAACAATGCGAAGATAAAAAAAAAAACAACAAATGAGAGGTATACAACTCCTCGAGATATATTGTAGTGTCATTTTTCAAATTTAATTGCAATCAATCAAGGCAAAATGCTTCTGATAAAGTGTATATAGCTATTTTTTTTTCTTTTCGTTTTGCTTCAAACCATTAAATGAATAGTGTGCATGTGTGTGACTAATTTTTTTTTGCAGACACAATTTATCAAAAATAGTAGCAACTAATGTACAATAGGAATAATTTAAAATTTTTAGATTTTTTTTTGCAGTTGTTTTTCACTGGACAAAAAAAAATAGTTGACAGGGTCATTGAATTATTTTATTTCGAGACGTATGAATACCTAAAACAAGTTAGAATTTTTATTTGATAGAATTTCATTAGATATATTTAACGCAGAAATTCTATTTGACAATTTATATTTTAATACAATTTTTAAATAATTCAATTTTTATTATATTATTTCAAAATAATAAAATAATTTGTTTGATTAAAACTTAAAGGTTAGTTTACAATGGGCGCATGTAAATTTTCACTGGAATTACAGTAGAACGTCCGAAATATGGCATATCTGTATATTTTTGATACCTACCCCACCTTGCTTTTTCTCTATTTTAAGTTCCCTGCCCTGTATAGAAAAAAGCTACCATTCCCTGCAAAGTGTCACAATTCTGATGTTCCACTGATTATTTTCTATTTACAGTGGAACCTCGATTATCCGAACATCTATTATCCGGACCCTCTATTATTCGAACCGAAAAACATTTTATCCGAACTTCTATTATCCGAACTATTTTTTGGTCTCCCGAATTTTAAATTTTATTTTCTCTATTTATTTTATCATTCATATTTTCGCGGGACATTTTGGCAAATTTATGCCAAAAAAATCTTAAAAATTTCCGAATTTTCTGAGTTTTTAATATACATATTATTAATTAATATATATTTACATATATTTATATACACGGAAAAAAAGAAAAAGTAATTTTTACTACTTTCATAGTAAAATTGGACCTGTCCGAAGTTTCTGCGCATCTCTGGCAACTTTTACTCAAAAAATAGTAAAATTTACTATTTTTGTAATAATTTTTACTATTTCTGGAGTAAATTTTACTATTTCTGGAGCAAATTTTACTATTTTTGGAGTAAAAGTTGCCATAGATGCGCAGAAACTT